GGAAAAGCACAAATTGCAGATGCAAGCTTAGAACCGAGCCTTCCAATTGTGTTCTATGTACATTTTACAGAAATGGGACAATACTGGGGGAGGTACTTTTGCGTGCACCCCACAAAAGTAACAAAGAATCACATGTATTTGATCTTGAGGGCACTGCCAATCTCAGTTTCGGTTATACATCCCTCAGAATTAAACAGAAAACTTGCTCCGTCTTTCTGATCTGCAACTTTACTTACACAGGAATTTCTAAAATTCTGTTTTAGAGAGGAAGACAAAAGATAACGTGCAAGAGTAACGCTAAAAGTAAAGAGAAACGCATCTAACTTGAAATCCTATTATTTTGTAATTTCTTGCCTCTACTACAATTTCATAACAGTATCTTGATTTACAAGTGTCAGTTTCATATCACTGCTCAGTGCTCCTCCAGGATCAAAACACTGCTGCTAAAATGTATTCTTCTTAGAGATGTGGCTCTCAAGAGTTTGCTTACAGCAAAACAATGTATGCCCAAAAATCCTAAGGTTAAAGTCCAGATTCTACGTAGAGTTAGCTATACAAACCCCTTTGTTTAAGAGTCCCAGACTGTCCTCACTCTCTACACTGTTCTATACATACCTGCCTTTTTAAAAAAAAAAAAAAAAAAAAACATTGCTCCTATTGCATACCTCAGCACCTGTCCTTTTAGTTCTGTTCTTAACTACTCTCTAACTCTGCCCTTCTCCTCAGCTAACATCCAGCCCCCCATACTGTAGCTCATGCTTCAGCTGCCAATTTCTAACCTCTCCCTACCGAATCGATATGATTTCTGTTGAAAAGCTTTTGGGCCCAGCAACCCCACAAGCTCTTTCTCCAACTCTTTCTCCATAGTCTGCTCTGAATGCAGAGAGGGATGGATATCTTCTCCCTCTCCTTCATTACGTGATAGCTACTCCAGCTCAGCCTCTATAAACCTCTGTCAGTACCTGCTTGCGGAAAAATAAAGCAAGTAATAAAAAGAAAACCTCATTTTTGGATAAGCAGCTGCTAAATCTAATATTTATTACGCATGAATGTGATATTATTTTCCCAAGTTCCTAATTTGGCCAAATTTATGCCAAGCTCCAGAAAGGGCTTAACTCAGGAGACAATCTTATCAAATAACCTGTACCAAAATTTAAAGCACCAGGGCTCATCAAGAAAACTAGTTTAAGATGTTTTGGAAACATAGGCAAAACTTTTCCTCCAATATCATTTTTAGGTTCAGCTGAACAGTAGTTGTAACGTGTAAACAAAATTGTCAAAAATAGCCAGAAGCTGCAGAAAATTTCACCTCAAACAACAGAACTTATTAAACTTGGACAAAATTCTAAAAACTAAACTAAAAATCAACCAAAACCAAGCTTCAATCTTCTTTATCACAATCAGCAAAGCAGCTTCTATCAAAAAATAAACAAAATTTATTGATAAGCTCATGGTTCACGTTAAAACACGAGCACATAAACATTAAAAAATAAATAAATCTTGCCACATAAATAATACAGATAACTTCAAAATGCAGTCAGACAAAACATGGGAAAGCCATCCCACACGGACAGGTTTTCTTCTGGCTTTATAAAGGTCTGCTCGTTACTTACCCCTCCCAGTTCTTTAAGGTCCTTCTCTAATTTTTCAGAGATCACATTTGATGCAATATCAAGATAAAACACCTTTCCAGTAAGTGGTCTATATTTAAGTTTCTCTGGTTTTGTTAAATCCTTTTTCACATTCTTCAGGGAAGATCTTAACTTTTCTGTTTTCGCTTGCATTCCATCTGCTGCCAAAAGAAAAGGAAATTTAAACAATTGTACTGTATGTACTCCTGTGTTTAGTTTTTCTTCTGAACACAAAAAATTCCTAAAATATGGAAAAGGAGAAGGTAACCTTCTGCACAGTATAGAACTCTTAAAATAAATTAATTGTTAAACAGTCCAAAAATAAGACATAAGTAACAATATCACATATAGCTTTAGGATAACGCTTCATCAAAACTTTGCTCATTACTTCGCTTTTAAGACCAATGGGTACACAAACAGCTTTAGCCTCTACGCAGCAAACATTCTTACCAAGTTACTTTTTCCATATCTATTCATATGGAATTCAAACAGGCTATTCAAATGCTTGAAAACAGACATACGTGTAACTACTTGCCCACATGAGATCTAAATATTAAAATACATTGTTTTAGTTCCCAAAGCAAACATTACTAAGAAAATAAAAACACTGTCAGCACTTGAAGTTCCTTCTTAAAATCATATCCTAAGACTGATTTATTTCAGTCGCTATACAATACCATCACTCTTTCAGTCAGTTTTACAAATCTTTACTATCTTTGAACCACAGTGTATATGCCAGTGTGTTGTCACTGATGACCACAAGAACACCATTTTAGAGGAACAGAGCTGTCCTCCCTCTATCACTCATCTGAAACAAAAAGGATTTATGTAGTCCCATTAGAACAAAAGCAGACGAAAAAGTAACTAAAATTACAAAAAATGTAAGACTTAGATCCTCCTTTTTGTTATTTAATGTTTGAGTACCCACCTGAGATGCAGTAAGACTATGCTTAAGTCTGGGAACTTGAACATAATTCTAGTTATAACAGCTCTTTCTCTCCTGGTGAATTTTGCTCTAACATTAAGAAACCACATCTGGCAATGTAACTGTGCTTTGAACAGTTGAACTTTCCTAGAGCTAGATCAGACTAGGTTTTTAAGTAAGCAACACAAATTTCAGTATAGGTGAGAAGCAAGCCTCATTTCCCAAGGAAAATTCTGGGACTGTGGTAGATATGTCTGTGAGAACATCAGCTGAATAACGAGTAGCAATCAAAATAGTAAAAAAACCTAAAAAGGAATAAAAAATAGAAGTGCAGAATTTTATTACGCCACTGTATAAATTCATGGTTTGCTCACTCCTTAGATACAGCATACCCTTCTAAGCAAAAAAATTAAATAAATAAATAAAAGGGATCAAAAGGGTAACAAGGACGATCGAAGGTTTGAAAAAACTTCTGCATAAGAAATGACTTTGTAGATTAAGACTTGACAGTCTGCAAAATAAACCATTTACAGAAAATACAGTAAAAACGTATAAAATCAAGAAGAACACAGAGAGGGCGGCTAAACAGCCTGTTCCAGTACAAGGGATATGGGACACGAAACAAAACAAGGAGACAGGTACAAAACGGACAAGAGGAATTGGTTCTTTGTGCAGCAGGTCAGCTCTGCGCAGCATGTTGCTGCACAAAGACTGGTGTAGTTACTAAGACATGGTTTCAAGGGGGACTGGACAAGTACATGAAAGAAAAATACTTTGAGGGGTTCCAAATGCACAGACATGACATGCAATTCATGAAGTCGCTGTAGCTGACCACAGTTGGGCACTAAGATAATATTAGTGATTATACCTTCCCTGGTCTTATATACTTCCAGAGGAATCCACTTACAACCACTGATGGAAACGGGACCATCCAAGACTGACATAATGTCGGGTTTACGTTGTCTTTTCTTGCTCACTGACTGACACCCTACTACTAGTTGCTTTCTTCCGAAGCAGCTCAAAATAGACAACCACAGCTGCTGCAGGAAATGAGCAAGGCTCTTCTAGAGACAAAAAAAAAGGTTCCTCTGTTATGTATTCTCTCCCTACCTGAAACTATCTGAGCTGAAAAAGGGATGAGTACCACCACTGATACTGCAGGACTCTGTAAGTAATAGTTAGGAATAGACAAAAGTGAAGCAAGAATAGGTTTAGCAGAATCTGGAAGACCAAAAGAAGTAACTAGGAAAGCAGGAAAATGTGGACGGCTTGGGGTAACACAACTGATTTAGAAGCTAAAGACGGATGAAATGTTGGGCAAAAGATAAGCAGATGTGCAAATGTGAAGTTCTGTAGGAGACCCAAGAACCAAATGTGGTCTTATACCCAACACGCATATATGATGGCCAGGGAAGTGCAGATTAATGCACTAAATACTAGAGTTAACCCTGGAAAATACATATCAAACTTCCTGAGGATAATCAAAAGCTTGCAGTTAGTTAGCAGTACTGCAATAACAGGATAGCAGTCTCTCATAAAGATAACTTCATGGTATTCATGTAGAGAAGGAACATTTTAATATCCATAGCCTAACATGGTGAGGAGACCTCCTACGTGTGTTGCTGATACCAGCAGACATCTGCCTGGGTGGAGCAGCCTGCAGGGCAGAGGCCTAGCGAATTTCAACATAGCTACTATTTGCTGCTTGTTTGCACTTCAAACAGCTCATAAAAAGGAGCAAGTAACCTAGCTTATCTACCCTTTCGGTTACATACTTTTACATTTAATCCCCAAAACTATGGAGAAGTTAAAAAAAGAAAAAAAAGTTAAGCGCTAACCTGCTAGATTGATCTCTATCCTTAGCGTTATTTCGGCTGCACACCACGAACAAAGACAGCTCAACGCGTGTCACCGCTAGCCCGACAGAGGCGGGAGGCCCGGAGCCAGCAGCAGCCCCGGGCTGCCGGGGCG